TTTCTCTCTCTCCCTCCCGACCTCTCTCCCTCTCTCTTAGTTCCTCTCACTCCGTCTCTTGCACTCCCTCTTTTACTAGCTCTCTCCCTCTCTCGCTCCCTCGCACTCTACCTCTCTCGCGCTCTCTCTCTTACTCGCTCTCACGCTGGCTCAGCGAGGCTCTGCGCTCTGCGCCGTCGGCCGGGGCGGGCAGGAGGGGGCGGTGTGGTGTGGGGTGGGGCTGGGGTCGGGTATGAGGGTCCCCTCCACACCCCGCCCCGCCCGCCTCCCCTCGGCGCGGCCCCACCGGCCCCGCCGGGCTCTGGCACGGCTCTGTGCACCTCCCACTGCCACTCCCACAATGCCCACGGCCTCCACTTCCCACTCCCACTCCCACTCCCACTCCCCACGCTCGCACAGCCAGCCAGCCACGACTGTGAGCTCTGTGCTTTGCCTTGCCTTCCTCTTGCTCTCCCTCCCTGTCCTCTCTAGTTCTCGCCTATTCTCTATCTTCTCTAACTTCATTCTCTCTCTCTCTCTCTCTCTTGCTCCCTCCCTCACGCTCTCTCTCCCTCCTGTCTCTCCTCTCTCCTTCCCGTGTCTTTTCTTTTCTTCTATTTCTCAGCGGTGGCTTTTTCCAAGTTTTTCACTAGACGAGCTGGGTTTACCTTTTTATTATCATCTCTTTTCCACGCGTATGCATAAGAACGGAATTTGATGAACTGAAAATTTTCGTAAACAGAATCGATGAAAGTTTTGTCCTGTTTGAATTTCGGAATTTTGGTTCATTAGTTTGAAATTCCCTCCCTCCCTCACAGCCGCCCGCTGGCCTGGTTCCTCCTTTCCACTCCCCATTCCCCGCTGAGCGCTCATTCCCCACGCCAGCCAGCCGTGGTTCGACCCTCTCTCGCTTCCAAATGGAAATACGGGGAGGGAGGTTGGGAGGGGGAGCCCAACGATCGAGGCTCGGAGGGAGGACTGCTGCCTGGGGAGGGGGTTGGAGGGAGCCCGGCCCCAGCCCAGGGGGAGGCGAGGCCGGGCCGGGCGGCTCTTGTCGGGGAATAGGGTTGTGAAATACGGAGGGGACGGGCTGGGCTGGGTCGAGGGAGCACCATGGCGAGGGCGAGGGAGGAGGGGAGCAACTGACAGCTCGGGAGGGAACCAGCCTCTGCTACACCCGCCACTGCCGCCCGCGCTATTTCTGTTGATGTTCCGGTGCCGATGTTGATGACGTTCATTACCATTGAACTTGTCTCTATGAATGTCAGCCCTTTTGTTCAGAGCTGGACCGATTTTTGGCCCGCGCTCGGCTGCTGCGGCATTACGGCACTGCGTCTTTTGGGCGGTTCTTCATTCGGAAGCGGTGGTGTTCGGGCAGCGGGCGTTTCTTCGCACGCACCGCACCGCAGTGTCGCGGGCTTGCCTACTCGCTCGAGCCGCAGGGGCCTTGGCGCCTTGCGGGTGCGAGTAGGCAAACCCGCAACACTCTGGTGCGTTCCGAGAAACGCCTAGTGATATTGGCCTGTTGGCAGGTACATTCAGGGTTCAATGTTCAATGATATGGCCCTGGGGGAAGGAAAGGCCGCTTAGCCGCATGTAGCCCAGCTCGAAGAGAGCGCGGGAGATCTCATAAGCCTCTACTGGGTCCATGACGTCCATGACGGGGCGGGGAGGGGCGTAGTCGTAGTCTCGAGTGGAGCGGCTCCGAAATAGATCATTGTTGCAGCCCAAAAAAGATGCAGTGGCAACTGGCAACCGACGGCCCGGGTGACGGCTCTCGCGCAGTCTTTATCACTGTACGAGATACGCCAAAAAAGTATTTAGCTGTCCTGAGTGGGACGCCTCGCACAGCTGTTGGGCGGGGGTGTCAGCAGGGTGACGCACCCGCCTCTCTCCCTCTTGCAGTCGTACCGATTGACGTGTGAGCCTGGAGAGGGCGGGACGGGAGGGAAGTCGAGCCGGCTGAGCCGGGCGGGAACAGTGGGACCCCTCCTCCATCTGCATTTGCGTCACGAGCACGGAAGACCGGCTATTGAGGACATTTACAGCTGTGCCCTTTTTCTGGCGAGATGCTATTCTATTTTGCATCCCTTTCAGTCGCGTATCTCGTTCCCTAGTTCAGTTCGTTTCTAGACGCGCCCTCCGCCCCGTCGGCACCCTGCCCTGGTGACGCATGTGCTTCGCGGCGCGCCCGGCAGCGGCCTCATGTGACGGACACCTGCCGGATGAACCCACCGCCTTGCGTTCAAGTCTCGAGCGCAGGGTGTGTAGCTGCTAGCTAGCAGCTGGCTACCCCTCAGCTCTTGGCCACCTCCCTGCGCACACCCCTCACCGAGACTGGCTATCGGCCCCTCTATGTGCGAGCCAAGTTGTAGTGATTCTGTCAAGTCTCTAGACTGCCCCTCTCCTGTTGTCTTTGTTCAAGTCTGATAAAATTTGAGCTCCCTGCTGCATTCCCTCCATGTCAGGGGCTGGGCGAGGCCCACAAGGCCTGCACGGGTCTTTGTTGCGACAGCCCCTTGCTCTCCTGCCCGACGGGCTGGTGGTGCCGGAGCTGGCGGGGCTGGCGGAGCTCCGTGCTGCGCAGTGTGGCGCGGTGGGCGCGTTCTCTCCTGCCCTTTTTCCTTCCCTCCTGCCTGGCGGGCAGGCGGCCGGGACCCGCCGGCGCACGGGGCGAAGAGGAGGAGGAGGAGGATCGAGGAGGAGAAGAGAGAGAAGAGGAATGGAGCAGGCGGAGCGGAGCGGAGCTCTGCTGGCTGTCAGATGAGCCGGCCCCGGCCCGCCGGCTGCCTGCTTGCCTGTCTGCCTTGCCGCCAGCTCTGCCTTGCCGCCTGGAGGGAGGGGTAGGGGGAACTCACCAACACAAAGGTTCTCTGCTGAGCTGGCCGGCGCGGCCGCTCAGACAGCACGGGAAAGCACGGCGCGGCTCTAGCGGGGAGGGGCCGACGTCCGGCTCAGCCCCCCGGCCCCCCGCGCAGCCCCTCTCCTGGCTCCTTATTTCTTTGCCTCTCTCTTTTCTCTCTCTCTCTCTCGTTTCGCCCCCCTCCGTTTCTCCACCGGCTCCATCAATTCTTCTCTGTCGCTCTCACGGCGGTACTCCTGCGAAGTGGGACGGAGGCCGGATGTTCCGATGTGCCTTGCCTCCTTGCTGTAGTACCTTTGCCTGGCCGGCACAACGGGCTGCTGCCCGGCACTGGCTGCCCGGCAGAGTCACTCGCCCGGCCCGGTCCGGCCCTTCCCTCGCCGTTCCCGCTACCGAGAAATGTTCGCCCCGGGGAATGCCCCTTTCGTCATAGACACGCCAGGCAGGCGGCTGGGCGAAGGCACTGCGCACTGCTGTACTACTCGCTCCGTCCCGGCAGCGTCAAACTGGCTGCGGGGGGAGAACGAGGATGGCGACGAGGAGGATGGCGTGGCACTTCAGGAAGTCTCCCAAGGAGTGCCCGGCGCGGTGCCTAGCCCCTGCTCGCTTCCGTTCCACCTCCCGCCAATGGCGCCGCCACGCGGTAGGAGAACCTCGCCTCAAGGTTATGCCAGTGCTTGTGGACCAAGGTTTTCCACAGCCTCGGCGTCGAACCCGCCTCGGCTGTGCCCCGCACGCGCCGCGCACTGGGCAACCCCGCCAGTCAGTCAGGGCAGGGCGGCGGAACACCGCGCTGCGGGCGCAAGATGCGCAAGAGGGTGGATAGTTCGCGCTGCGCCCTGCCCTCCCGACTGCCGTCGGATAACTCCTCTCTCTCCCCCTCCATCATCACGACTAGCCGCGCCTCGCGGGTCCAGTCCACCTGTTCTCCGCGCCGCCCGGCCTCGTCCGTCCCGCACAGCTGATGGCATTTGCTGCCGAATATGTTCAGGTCGTCGGCCGGCCAGCCTTCCCTCCGCGGCCCGCCCCGCCCCGCCCCTGCGCGCCAGCTGTGGCGGTGTGTGTTGTGTGGAGCCCCGAGCCGCGCAGCGGGCTGGCGCAGGCAGGCAGGCAGGCGCAGGGGAGGATTGGGCTGGGCTCGCCTTGCTCCACCACCTGGACAGGATAGGCCTGCTGCACGACACACACGCAGCGGGGCTGGCGGGCGGGCAGGCGGACAGGCGGACACTCAGTCATTCCACAAACTCGTTCTGTGGAGGACGGGCCGGGACGGGACGGCGGTAGACGGCCGGGCGGCTCGGCAATGGTAGACAGACGGACGGACGGGCGGGTAGACGGCTGGCTCTGGCTCGACGTGAGGCAAAGCGAGGGACGGGAGGGAGGCAGGGGTCCCTGGTCCCGCCGCGCCGCGCCACGCCACGCTGCATGCCTGCCGCCGCACCGCCGCCGCCTGCTGCTCACTGCCTCTCCCTCCCACTGATCTTGCTCCGCCAGGAGAGGAGGGGGAGGACGCCGACGTCGGCGAAATGAACCAAAATTCTGTACGAGGGAAAAATACGCGTTTTCTTGCGTACTTTTTTCGAGGTTCGCCTTCTGAGTGTCTTCCCCCACCTTTACGTGGAAGAAAATTGCAAAATGGTTGAAAACTTGGTAAAAATTAAGAAATGAATCTATCTTTGACTTCATTTTGGATTTAGTCTTTAGTTTTCCTTTCAATTCCCAAAGCACCCTTGAGTTTCTCGGGGATACTCTATCTTCGTGTTTCGTATCCGAAGACACCGAGGTGGTGATGGCCTGCGGAGGGCGGTCCCAAATCCAACCCACACCTGCGCCAGGCAAGCCCGCGGTCAACCGGCACGCGCGTCTCCGCCGCCGTTTGTTGTGTTCCTGAAAATCGTATCAGCTGACGAGCCGTGTGACGTCAGGTTGTATGTATGAGCACCCATTAGATGCGTCGTCAATGGAGCGGAGCTGCGCGGGGCGGGGCGGCGCGGGGCGGCCCATTGCTTGGCTGCGACGCCATTCATCACACCCATTGACCCGCTCGCCGTGCCGCGCTTACGCCTTCCTTCCCGTGGATGTTGCGGCAGGTCGTTTGGCTT